TATACACAACAAATTATATAATGGTAATATATATACATAACATACAATATATACTACAAGAAAATACATAAGGGAATATATATACATAACATACAATATATAGTACACTATACTAGTATACTATATATATTATATTTACATGAAGAAGTAGTACTATATATACTACAAAACAAGATTTTTCAAAATGAGGGCCCCACCCCCAATGACCACCAACGGTCATATTAATTGCACAAATAGCCGTTTTTTTTTTCAATTTACAAAACTAACCTTCTCTAACACTATAAGTACCCCCCTTCCCTCTTCTTCATTTCAATACTCAATACTCATTTCTCAATCTAAATTTCTCTCAATCTCTCAATCTCCAATTTTCAAGACTTCAAGTCTCAATCTCAATTTTCAAGTTAAATCATGCCTCGTTCGGAAAGAGTGCGCTTATTTGTTTCGCAATACTATGAAGTGCTTGAAGAAAATGAAGAAGGCCAAATATTAAAGTGAAGAACTGTGGAAGAGTCTTAAATTTTCGTTCAGGGTGTACCACGGGCATTTTAAGGAGGCATATAAAGTATTGTGTTGAGGGTATTTATCCGCAAATTCGTCTTTAAGATTTTTCAACAATTTGTGTTATTTTAAAATTATTAGACGTATTTATGCTTCATGTTGTACTTTGTTATTAATTTATTATGCATGCCAATTTAGTTTTACTATTGATTTGTTATTTTACATTTTCGTCAAACACTTTAATAATTAGATTTCTATATTATATATACTACATATATTTATATAGCCATGCATAAGAGCAATTTATATATACATATACACATATGGTTTACAAGAAATTGCCTTAATAAAAAAAATTTTAAAAAAAAGCCCGAAAATAAAAAAAGTCCGTTAGGCCCGCTAAGCCCACGAGCCCGACCCATTTAGCCCAGGACCATATGGGCTTAGGCCCGTCACGGGCTGGTCCTACCCGTTGAGCCCGCGAAGCCCGGGACCGCCAGAGCCCGGGACCGCTAAGCCCAGGCCCGTTTAGCCCGGCCTGTTTAGCCCATTTAGGCCCGGGCCCGGCCCACCATACAACCTTACTTGTAAGCTATCTCCCCCTGCCATTCCATATCGTTGATTTTTTCATCAACCCATTAACGTGAATGTAAGACGAAATTTGTTTCGTGCAACATCAAATTGAATTTCAGGACGTCACAATTAAAATATAGTGTCAAGGTCTTCAAATATAGTACTCCCTCCGTTTTAATTTATGTGAACGCATTTGACTGGGCACAGAGTTTAAAAAAAGAGAGAAGACTTTTGAACTTGTGGTGCAAAATGAGGAACATATATTTTGTGTGGCTATAAATCATTGCATAGAGGTAAATTATTTCCAAATAAGGAAAGAGATAGTTACGAATACGACAACTGGCTTAGTTCAGTCTCCAGCTATTCGCGCTCTTTTTAGTTATGTAAAATTGCATTTGAGGCAAATAACATACTACATCTGTTCCAATTTATGTGAACCTATTTCCTTTTCGGTCCGTTCCAAAAAGAATGACCCCTTTCTAAATGTGGTAACAATTTAGCTTAAACTTACAATTCTACCCTTAATGAGAAGCTTTTATAACCACACAAATACTCTGAGTCCCTTTTTGACTTGTTTAGGGCCACAAATTCCAAAAGTCTTCATTTTTCTTAAACTTCGTGCCCAGTCAAACAGGTTCACATAAATTGGAACGGAGGGAGTACTAGTTACCATAGCCTGGGCCAAATAGCATCGATCATATCCATATAAAGCACCAACTATCATAAGTAAATGGGAACAAAACTCATATAATCAAGTCATGTACAAATAAAATGTCACGACCCAAAATTCGCACCCTCAGGACCGTGATAACGCCTAACATTTTACTTTCTAGGCAAGCCAATACTAGAGATAGTTTTTAGCCATTTTAACAAATCCAATTAAATGATACCAAGAAACTGAAATAAAACTGAAATAGAGTGAGTAAACCAAAATAACAACGATGTCTAGATACAATGCCAGAACTAGTGCCACAAGTACACGAGCGACTAGCGTAATACAAATAATGGTCTGAATGAAAGCATAACTATCTGAAATGAAATAAGCAGCTAGAATAATGTAGAAGGAGACTTCAGGGCTGCGAATGCTGTGCAACTATAACTCAAGTCTCCATCAAGCAATCAATCCGAGCAATCTACTTACCGCCGCTAGGACTGACTCCAAAATCTACACAAAAAATGTAGAGTGTAGTATGAGTACAACCGACCTCATGTACTCTGTAAGTGCGAGCCTAACCTCGACAAAATAGTGACGAGGCTAAGGCGGATCACTTACAATAACATGTACGCAATTTAATAATAATAACAAAAATAGGAAAGGAGCACAGGAAATAACGACAAAGCAGTTAACTAGTGAAAGCAAACTCAATCCTCGAAATCAGCAAAACCAGAAATATTAGTCCTCAGAATCTCATATGAAAATAGTAAAAGTTAACACAATGCACCAATGAGTACTACACACATAATCTGTTGCAGCGCGCAACCCGATCCCATCGTACAAACATAATCCTCCTTTATTTTACTATATCAATATTAAGAATAACATGTCAAATCAGTTGCGACGTGCAACCCGATCGCACCACACAAATCAGAATCAATATCATAATCCTCCCTTATTTCACCATATCAATATCAAAATCATCATATAAAATCCGTTGCGGCGCGCAACCCGATCCTACCGTATAAATATCAAATTCTCCCTTATTCCGCAATATCATAACCCATTTCGGCGTGCAACCCGATCTACAAATAAACTCAATAAAAGCAATCAATCCAACAACTCAATTCACCAGAATCTCTACGAGAAAAGAATATGAAAGCAAAGCCGTAAAGGAACCCCGTGCCAAATCAAGGAATGCTATGATTAATACAAAGCAACAAGGCAAGTCAAATATATGACAGTTAAAGTGTACAAGTAAGACAATTAAGGCAAGTAGCAATTAATCATGGATCGTGGAAGGAACAAACATTTCAATACAAGAGTATGTAATGACCCGATCGAACATTTTGAGCATTTGCACTTTGCTATATAGTTTGAGGGTGTGAGTAGCTTTGAAAGATGTATTACGACTTGTGTGAATCATCGATTTTGGTTTTCAGGCTATTTGGGATCGATTTGGAAGAATGAATTTCATGATTGAAGCTTTAAGTTGGAAGAGTTTACCAAGTTTTATTTTTTAGTATTTGACCTCGAAGTGGAGTTTTGATCGTCCCAGTAGGCCCGGATGGTGATTTTAGACTTGGGCATATGCTCGGATTTGCATTTGGATGTTTCTAGAAGGTTTCGGCACAAATTGGCCAACAATGGAATTTAAAGGTTTGGAAAAGTTCATAAGTTGCCGAGAGTTGACTTTAGAGATATTGGATTCGGATTGTAGTTCCTGGAATTGGAATAGCTTCGTTATATCCTTTGGTACTTGTGTGCAAAATTTGAGTCCATTCCGGATTGATTTGATATGTTTAGGTGCGTGTTTCGGAAGTTGAAAGTTCATTTAAGTTTGAGGTGCGATTCGTAGTTTTGATAATGTTATGCGTGATTTGAAGCCTCAAGTAGATATGTGTTATGTTATGGACTTGTTGGAATGTTCGGACACGGTCTCGAGAGGCTCGGGTGAGTTACAGAGTGGAATCGGAGCATTTTTTTCCTTCATGTTTGATAGGTGGTGTGTTATGGGCTGCTGGTGCGGATTTTTCCTTCTAGGCGATCGCAAGGCAAGAACGCGATAGCAATGTAAAATGTTGGAGCTGGGGAAATTTCTTCTACGCGTTCGCCATTGTAGGACCGCGTTCGTGGAGGTCGAGCAACTTTTGTAACACGGTCGCGTTCCTGGGAATGCGATCGTATATTAGCGTGGGTGCTGGGTAGAAATGTTTCGTGTTCGCGTGTATCAGGGTGCTTCGCATAGCTTTTATTCCAGTGGTCTGCGCGTTCACATGGTTTGCCTCGCGAACACATTGGGTATTTTGAGCAGTTCCATTTTTCTCTTCTTCGTGATCGCGTGGGTTGCATATGATTGTCCAGTGAATTATAAAGTACTCTATTTCGGCGGTTTCGGCCATTTTAGCATATTTGGAACTATGGGGCTCGGATTGGAGCGATTTTTTAGGCGATTTTCACCATGTGGATTAGGTTAAGTGTTCTCTACTCATTTTTTTTATATCATGAATATATCTTTGTTTTCGGCATTTGACCGAGGGTTTCAAGTGAGAAATTTGGGGGGTTTTACCTAAAGTTCCATAGCGTGAATTTTTTAGTTTTGAACATCGATTCAGAGTCGGATTTGAGTGAAACTAGTATGGTTGGAGTCGTAATTGAATGAGTTGTTGGATTTTTTGAGTTTTATCGGGTTCTGAGGTGCGGGCCCGGGTTTGACTTTAGAGTTGATTTTGGACTTTTGATTAAAGATTCGACCTTTATCGATTGAGTTTGTTCCTTTTGGCATTATTTGATGCATTTGAGTTGCTTTTGGCTAGTTTCGAGCCGTTCGCAGGTCGGTACGCGCGTGATGGCATTTGGAGCATCGTTTGGCTTGTTTGGCATTAGAGTTGGCTTGTTCGAGGTAAATTACACTTTTAAATTTGGTGCTAAGGTATGAAACTCCGAATTACGTGTTATGTGATTGATGTTGAGGTAACGTACATGCTAGGTGACGGGCGTGTGGGAGTGCACCGTGTGAACCGTGATTTAGTCAAATCTATGGAACTGTGTAGCTATGTTATCTGAACATTTCTACTGTACTCTACGTGTTAGAGAACTTGACCTGTAATTTATGTTAGAAAATCATGTTTAGGCTATATGCTGGTACTATTGCGACCCACAGTGGTCGTTCTTTGCTGTTGAGTTATTTCTTTAATTGTAGTTATGTACTCGGTCGCATTCATTCACTACAGAAAAGGGGGTTATTAGGGCGGTTATATTATGGCGGTTGGACAGAACCGCCGCAAAATAAAGCATATTACGGCATTTTTTTAGACGCCATATTAATAATTTCAATAACAGCGGTTGTGCTCTAAGTTGCGGCGGCTCAAATCGCCACTATTGTATTTCAATTATATTTATTATTTTCCATCTCCACATATTTCCCGCGACTAATCCCGCTTTCCCCTAATTCCTTCTTTCCCGTAAATCCTTCATTTCTCTCTTTCCCTTAATCAATCTCTTAAAAGATATTCTTCTCCACAAATTTTGAAGTTCAGTGAAAGAGAATACGAGCAGAAAAGATTTCTTCTCCATGGAACTCGTACAGGACAAGCAGCTTTTGGTGAGTTACATCTCAAAATGCTAAATTAGCCGTCGATTTCACTGATTTAAGGCGTGCATGTATGTGTATTGGATGGAGATCATTTTAAATCACTAATTTTAGCCATCAATTTTACTGGTTTAGCCGTTGATTTCAATAATTTTCGCCGTTGATTTCAATAATTTTCGCCGTTGATTTCACTAGTTTAGCCGTCGATTTCACTGATTTAAGGCATGCATGTGTGCGTTTTGGATGTAAATTACCGATTTTAGCCGTTGATTTTACTGGTTTAGCCGTTGAGTTCACTTAGTTATGCCGTCAATTTCTGGTTTTTAGCCGTCGATTTTACTTTTCTATTTGCTAGGGTTCATGCATGTTTGGCTGTGTTCAATTGGTTTGTATTTGGAGTGTACTCATATTGCATGCACTTAATTTTGATCTTTATAATTGTTGTTCGGTCTAGTATTAACCTAAATATTGTATGTGGGCTTGATAGGTAGCTGAAGGATAAAAAACAGTTGCGGAAGCTATTGGTATCGACATCGCCACTAAACCATTTGATATGAGTAGCTCTTATTAGTCTAAATTTGTCCTTTCGTTTGAGTAGTTTTTCTTTTTTAAGTGCAAATTAGTCCCTTTTTAGTGTTGAATTACCTCTTATCAGTGTAAAATAAGAGTTTCCTATTGAATTATATTTAGGAGCCAATGAGTCATTTGGTTTCATGTGCAAGAGAGCATTGTGTATGTATAGTTTATTTGAAAAATGAGAGAACAGTACATGGTGTTGGTGAAACAAGTTCGAGTTGTTTAGAGGGTTTTGGTTAAATTACCAATCATATATTTGAACTTTCCGTGAAATTGATTACCGAACAGATATATAACTGACTTGTGAATTGTGATTACCCTGTATAAACAGTGGTCTATGTATTCTAATTTTATCTATTGGTTTTGAAAATAATCTTTTTCGCTATTTCATTCAACTTATTGTCTGCTAGCTTTTTACTGCCTAACTTATTGTCTACTAGTTTTTTACTGCCTGTACTTTTTTCATCATGTATGTAGAGATGCCGAAGCAAAATCAGGTTAAAATCTATTTAAATCAGCCATAGGGAGCTCTTCACTTGCTCCAGAGGAATCATCTCACGCTCAGTCTCAGGCACAAGCTTCATCTTCTTCATCTGATCGAGCATGTTATTCCATCTTCATTCATCATCTGATGGAGTCGCCTCTTCACTGCCTGTCATTCCATCTACATCACCTGATGAAGTGGTCTCTTCACGGCGTGTTAGATGTAGACGAGTTTCTAACAAAGGAGTTACATATGACTCGGAGCCTCGTTATTGGTTTGTCATTGTTATAGGTACATATAAATTTAATGTGATTCAGTATCTCATATAAATTTATTTGTATCAAGTGATAAAAAGTGTTAGATTGAAGGTTATGGATGTCCATAACCTGGAGAATGGATTGCGTATAAGAATGGATTGCGTATAATTGTATATTGTAGTTATATATGTAACCCCAGCAAACTAACATATATCGTTTTTGTGAAGCCTCGATTTTTCTTTAGGATTGATCCGCAGAGGGTAAAAAAATAGATTGATAATTCTCTTAACAAAAAATGGAAGGAATTCAGGCTTAAACTATGGCGTGAGGCTGATGATCTATTATTGAGTAGAGAAGATATCATCAAGAATTCTCCAGAAGGAATTCCCATGGACCAATGCGTACTGAATGTTAACTACCGTTTGAAACCCGAAACAAAGGTACTTCTTCCTCCTCCTCATCTTCTGCTTCTGCTTCTATCTTTTTTCCTTCTTTGTTGTTTTGATTAATTAAAGCAGAAGTGCAACTTGACATTATTTTAGATGTTAATGTTTCAAAGCTGCTGAACTGTAACTAGCTTTGAATATTTAATCTCCACAGTTCGGTTTCCTGTTGAACCTGTATGTTCTTTCGGAGAATTTTAGACTATTGAAGGTTGATAGGTTGGTGTACCCTGAATGTTGTTTCCTTCAGTTTGTCTATAAGAAGGTTAACTTTGGGGTTTTGCTGATCAGAGAATGTTTTGCTGAAGCTTTGGGGTGATTTTGCGGCTATTTGCGGTTGGCTTTTCAGTTATTTTGGTGCTGGGTTTCAAAGGTATTTTGATGGACTTATGGAGGTGTTTCCAGGCTGTTTTGAGGTGGAGTTGGCAGCACTTTTTAGCTGCTGTTTCGGATCTTTTTGAGGCTGTTTTGGCCCCCCTTTTTAACTGGTTTTTGGTGAGTTATGGCTGGGATTGTGCTGGTGGTTTTTGGTGAGTTTGGGGCTACTTTTTAGCTCATTGTTGGAGCTGTTTCGAGGTCGTTTTTGGTGCTTTAATGGTGTTGATTTCACAGGTTGTTTTGCTGCGTGTTTTGGGGTGATTTCGGATATTTAACGGCTGGTATTATGGGTGTTTAATGGAGAAAAATGGTAAAGAAAATGGAGTATTGTTAATGAGAGCAAAAGGGACCTTTTTGGTAGTTTTGGGCTGATTTTGGCAGCTATTTTCTGGTGGTCTAAGGTATGTTTTCATGGAGTTTTACATGGGTTTGGGGCTGGTTTGAGCTCTAGTTTTGAATCTCTCTTTCTCTTGCAATCTCTACTCTGTTCAATGAGTGTCAATTTGATATTGTTTGGTGATATCAGTTCTATATTGTATGGCTATAATGTTTGCTTCCTTCTATCTCATCTTCTGATATGAAATCGCTAATTTCTTCCTTTTTTGGCAGACATACAATTTAGGAAGTGGCGCTCCTTCACCAATTGGGCAAAGAAGATCCTTCGATGGAAGTAGATAGAGCGAATTGACAATTAGTAATCGTTTAGGATCAACTTTATTTTTTGGTATTCTTGCTGAATAACTTTGAAAGTAACAATCTGGATGATGTATTTTTGAGTACCTATATTTTATACGATGAATATTTTGTTTATTTGATTTTTTATATTTGTGTCAAAATTAGAATGATGAATACTACACAAGGATGCAATAAAAAGGATTTAGATGTGGAATTACAAAATTGAATTGTTAAAACGAAAAGATTATAACAATGGAGGTCTAAAATACCAAAATATTATATAATAAAAAAAGTATTGCTAAAGCAATAATGGCGGCTAAAACCGCCATATTAAACAAAGCAGTTTACAGCAGTAATGGCGGTGTTGAATCGCCACTATAAGCAATAAAATAGCCAATAACAACGGGTGCATATTCTGGCGTTTAGTTAACACATTATGGCGGTTTTTGGGGAACCGCCGTATTTACGTTTTGGCGATAGAGATTTTGGCGGCTGTGGAGACCGCCGGTGCAGGTAATTGTGGTATATTAACCGCCGCAATAACTCCCTGTTTTTGTAGTGATTATTTCATATCATATCTCAGTCTCTGTTATCGTATATTATCACATCTTGAATCATTGATTAGGGCTGCTTGGCATGAGTGTTGTGAGCCCGAGAGACTAGAGAGATTGATGACTGAGAGAGGCCGAGGGCCTATTGTGAGTGATATTTATGGGATCGGAGTGCACGCCGCAGCATGCTTTATTGATTCATGTCAGGATTTGTCTTAGCGCTTGGGCTGGATCGGCCCTCCAGAGTCTGCACATTCACAGTGGGCACAATTGCTAGCAGTCATTTACATTTGGACTGGATCTGCCCTAGTTAATTTGCATTGGGCTGGATCTGCCCTGTTTTTTTGCATTTTGGTTCATTTGCATTGGGTTGGATCTGCCCTAGTTTATTTGCATCTTTGGGCTGGATCTGCCTTGGTATATTTGCATTTGGGCTGGATTTGCCCTGTACAATACTGAGTGCTGAGTGTGCTAAGTATTGAGCATGATGAGTGAGAATATGAGACAGTGAGATTTAGTACTCTGAGAGTTTGAGTACATGAGTTCATCTCTGAGATGCATTGCATTTGACATGCGTACTTGAGATACATGCATAGAGATGCATTTTCTTTTGCTACCCAGTTTTTGGTGACGTTCACGAGTTCACCTGTATATTGACATGTAGGCATAGAGATGTATTTTTCTCATGCTATCTGAAAATAAAACATCTTATTTATTGTTGAAAGGCTTTTTGGGAATAATCACAATGTTCAAACTTACTCATATATTTTTATGGTTTTCGGTGAAAGATTTGGGATCTACTGTATACTTGAAAAGCATGCCTATTTTCCGTAACTGTGAATGAGCTGAGTTATTTCTTGTACCATCTTTATTATATTGTCATGAACTGCTGTTGGTTATTGGAGTTGAACTCTGACCCTTGTCCCAGCTCGTCACTACTTTCAACCGAAAGTTAGGTTTGTTACTTATTCAGTACATGGAGTCAGTTGTACTTATACTATACTTCTGCACCTTGCGTGCAAATGTTGCTGCGTACAAAGGGAGCTGGATCGGAAGAAGTACCCGCGTTCCAGTTATGGTTATCACTAGTCCTTGGTAGCATTAGATTCAAATTCTATTCATTTACATTTCAAACAGATATTGAAATTATTTCAATTCCGTTTTTCCAAAGAAATCTAAATCTTAGACGCTCATGATTTGTACTTCCAATCATTGGGGAATTATATCAAAATTCAGTTATCTCATCTTTGACTCACGTTAGTGTTATTAGATTGTGTTTCATAGTTAATTGACTTACCTAGAGGTTTGGTTAGGTGTCATCACGGCGGTTTGGATTTTGGGTCATGACAGAGTAATAAGTGACAAGTAATAAGTTAAGGCATAAAAAGCAATTAAAGCATGTAACAATTAAGACATGGAATAAGATAATTATGAAATACGGAAAAACATGGAAACAATTATTTTGACGGCGTATATACACTCGTCACCTCGCATATACGCCGTTACACACGTAATTCACATAACATATAGTTTAAGGGTTCCTAATTTTCAAATCAAGGTCAGACCTAACACTTACCTTGCTTCACAAACAAATCAAAGCTCAAACGTGGCCTTTCCTCTAACATTCGCTTCCAAATCAATCGAATCTAATCAAAATCGACTTAATATAAAAAACAATGCTAGTAAAATCAATTACAATACATAAAATTAAGATCTTAAACTTTTCCCAAAAAGTCAATAAAAATCAACTCAGAGGGGGGAACTTGAGATTTTAATGCAATTACACCAGCTAACCAGACGCATTTGTAGCTGTAGAAAGATAACGCTGTAGAAGTAGCAAAGGCGGTTAGGCTATCAATTTGCACCCTCTTCCAAAATACAGACCACCCATGCACACAGGGGAACTTGAGATTTTAATCCATTGAGAAAAATACATCCACTACTACCTTATGACCGTGGTTGCGTCTTAGCAAAATATATACATAAACTTTCACACACAAACACACATAAAAACAAAAAGCATTGCATAACAATAAGAAGAACAATTTCAACTGGAGTGTTGCTAGTTTCAGTAATATTTGGTTCGTCTTTCCTAATAGCATAATCAATGTCTATGCACCCTAAATGAAGAAGAATTTTCTCCTTCCAAATTATAATTCTCACCATTAAGTTCGGGAATATCACAAATATCAGAAAAATTCACAGATTGCATAACTGCAAAAAATATACATACTTAAGATAAATTTGAGGCAGATAAACATATATCATCATTCACCAATGGAAACCATGTAAAAATTGAATCTAGTGACATAAAAATTGCCTGTAGGCTATATTTTTAATTCACTTAGATTCATTCCTCATGATAGAATTGTCAATTTTATTACTGCAATGACATCCTATCCATTGATAAAACTATCAAATTCTAATCCATAATCCCTGTAGGTAATTATGAAAAATTATTTAATATTTTATCGTAATTAATTACGCAAAATATAATAAAGGTTCTAAGTCATTATATTGCACATAATTAATCACAAGCTTATTGTCTAAATTTTTTTATGTGATCATTATCCTTATATTTCATTTGACTAAAAATGTTGTGGCTAATCTCTAATCAAATAAATTTTAGATCCCTTAGACATTACTCTCAATCCTTTAAAATAATTTAATGTCTATAATTTTCTATCCTAAATCTTACTTAATCAAGATTGTTGTGGTTAAATTTATTAAATAAAACTATATGGATCAAAGGACATTAAATCTAAAGTTCATTTAACAGTTATTGCAAAATCTATTATGCAATAATTTAGTTTCATGTTCCAAAGTAATTTTATGTATTTCAATGTAAAAGCAATAAGGAATATACGTACAACAAGGCACATGAATGTTCAGTAATTTAAAATTTCTCAATTCTAATAGCACAAATTGAAAATTTATACAAAATTGATAATACTATAAAATTTTCAACAACAAAAAAATAAAAAAATATACTATTTAAGAAACAATCAATGCTGACAGAGATTCAAAATTATAACATATCCTTTTTCTTATTATTATTTTATTTTAGCTACATAAATAAAAGGACAAAGCTACTAGTTTCTGGTGGAGTCATCACACAGCTAAAAGCAAAACTCAAAAGCAGAGCAACAGTACATCACCAAAACCAAACACTTTATAGGTCGTCTTCAACCTCTAGCGGGTCATTTCGACCCGGTTTCAGACCCAGTTATAGACCCGACTTGTTCTCACTATTCTGAAAATCAAAAATCACGTTTAAATTGCAGAATGCTAGAACAGCGATTTCCAAATGATCTCTAACATTAGTTTTCAATAAAAGTTCCGAAAACATGATTTATTTAAAATTAATTTTGCTGTAAAAGTTTTGTCGATAAAGGCAGAGGTAGCACCAAATGTAAGAGCAGTGCGCAGCGGAAACGAAAGATCGGACATACCTCCAGCCATTGTTTCGGTGTCGTCGGCAACGGAAGTTTTCCTCCGTTGAGTCTTCTAAGCACTTCAGAAATCCTCACTAGATGGTGTAGTAATTAAGAAGGTTTTTCTATGCTTAGGGACCCAATCCATAATTTCTCCTTTTATACTGTTCTTCCATCAAGAACAGTTACTTGTTCAGATGTATAAGGGGCAATAGTTTCTTTATGACAATGGACAGTTTCAAATAATTAGTTGAAATTTAGTTTCAACTAGCTTAAATTAAACAGACCATCTTTATGACACATTCAATAGAGGACGTTACTAGCGGAAGCCTCATATAGTGGCAAGTAGTACTTGTAATCTTTCTGTCATTTCACTCCTTTTGCTACCTCAATCGTTGGCTGCATCGTCATACCTTCTGCAAAATGGTTAATGGTAATCGCTAAATATCGTAGCTTTTCAGTATGTTTTGCACGATAGAATTATTTTTCTGGGAAAATATAATGTTTTCCAGTGTTTAGTTGATGTGTGAAAAATAGGTTTCGGAAAAAATATATAACCAACATTAATAAGAGTAGTATTAGCAATCAAAAAGTATTTTAATGAAATTTTCGATTAATAAAGATTTATGATAATGTCTAAATTTATAATATCAAAATGAGAGTTCAAGGCTGCTACTAGGGTGTTATTATCGGGCAGATAGGACGAATAATTATGCTTAATAACGGTTCGGCTTATCGGTTATCGGCTTTTAAATATATTAATTCACTAGCCAATCGATAAGATATCGGGCAGCTCGGTATACGATTAGCAATTATCGCGAAATTCAAATAACAGCTTCCAGGATGAAAGTCATCCTCTTACCGTAGGACATCATTCTTATATAAAACATGAGGAAATCCAACGTCAGATCTGTACAAGTAAATCAAATGACAAAAGCTTACAAAATTTAATATGGAAAGGCGTTGGCTCTTAGCTCTTTCTTAATGTTAATAACCAGTCACGAAACAAAAACCAACACAAACTAGCATAACCTTAATATATATATATATATATANATATATATATATATATATATATATATATATATATATATATATATATATATATATATATATATATATATATATATATAGTCTTAACGGGTTAACGATTTATCCGATA